AAGGCGTGTCTTTTAACACTAGATATTATACGACTTTCTTAAAGGCATTTAATCTTTTTGTTCCTATGTAAATATCAAGCAAAGTTGTGTGTAGCTTAACTTGTAGCATAAATTGTCACCACAAGAAGCATATACAAAAAGGGATTTTCTGTGGAATATAAATATTTACAATATTTTCAAGATCTTTTATTGGAAGTCTTTTTTTTTTCTTGTTTTCTTTTTGTTAAAATAGACATTGCTTAATTCATCTTGAGACAATCCTCCCTAACACTGACAAGATCAATAAACAAGAAGAGATGACTTAAAGTTACCAAACCAAGCATTTGGGTGGGAGGGAAAAATAGAATTGAACTTAAAATCCTTTTTGAAAAGATCACTGTACAAGAAAGAGAAAATGTTTGACCATCTGTTTGCCAATTTTCTTGCAACCTACTTATTTCATTTTTGATTTTTGAAAATATGAAAGGTCATATTCGAAATAGGTTATTGTGTTATTTTAACTTGTTAAAAATTTTGGGTTCTTGTCCTATAACTAAGCTGGTGTTCAAATCGATTCTCAATTTGTATGCCAATGTTTTCTTTGAAGGAGAAAATTTATGTATAAAATCTAGAAGTGATTCATCTTGGACACTTCGTATGTCATTTTTCCTTGCAACGTGCTTCAGAACTCTGAAATTTCATCATCATTGATTTTGGACAATATGAAATGTCAAATTCAACATATGAAAGAGCAAAAATATACTTGATGCAAGAAAAACTACTAGCTTGTTCAAAATGGCAAATACATCGATTCAACATGCCCCCATCCATGCACGAAGGATAAATAAGTCCAACATGCCAGCATCTAGCTCCTAGTCATGGTATGATAATTCAGAATGGCCCAAACAAGGAGCAAAACATCATCTCTATACCTCAATCAATTATAACTTCTTACAATTATTTAAGTAAAAACAATTTTATGATACTATTTCTTCCACAGGCGTTTTCCCAGAAAACAAATTACAAAGACAAAAGCAAAAAATACACAAGGAAAACAGATTATTTGGGTGAGGACTCTCAATCTTCCCAATTATTAGTATCTAAAGTGATTGGATACAGATCAGAAGTTGATTTTGAGGAAGAAGTCCAAGGCATATCCAATGAAATACTCGAGTTAGTAACATGGTCCTGACTCGTTATTTCTGTTGGCTTCATCTTGTAAATTGAGACACTTGAGTCTGAAACGAACTCTCCAACATGTGCTCTTCCTTCTAGTATGCTTACCACTGCTGACATGCTTGGTCTTTCGGCGGCTACAGCATTGGTACAACAGAGCGCCAAATTGATAGTTGTGATCACCTCTTCTTCATTGAAGTTCGATTCTAGTCTTGGATCGACCAGTTCCATTAATTTTCCTTCAGCCTTCAAGGAATTAGCCTAAAATAAAAGGGAAAGAAAGAAAGAAAGAGCTGGTCACTAGATACGAAACAACATAGAGCTTACTGTAGCTTCATAAATAAATACAATAAAATAGAATAAATCTTCATTATGGGCGTAAAATTATTGTAATATGTTACCCAGTCGAGAAGATAGAAGCTGTTCTCCTTTGGCCTAATACTAGTGTTGCTCCTCCCACTGACAATTTCTAAAAGAACAACTCCAAAACTATATACATCTGCTTTGTCGGTAAAATAGCCTCGCATAGCATATTCAGGTGCCATATATCCACTGAAAATCA